TCCAGCGGTAATCGCGGCAACCGAGTCTGCTCTCGTTGACACCGATGGCGATGACCGTCTTCCACTCGTTCGCCACGATGAAGCAAGACCGAGACTCGATTCCAGATGGAACGATATACCCGTACACACTCGTCTAGGAACGTCGAGTTTCTTCGGTTTCTCAAAATTCGTGAAACCCATATCGTCCACGGGTACACCTTACCCTATCCTCTGTCAACTGGAGAATTCAAGATGGTCGATAGACGTCGAGAGATCGGATCTTCTCTTTCTTTTTATTTTTTTTTTTTCCTCAGTAGTTGGACCATTATTCTCCATGTTCGTTATCCTCGTGAATTTGAACGAACGAGTGGAAGCGGATAGCCGGTGCAAGCGTTGAATCGTTTAAAGCCGTAAGCAGAAGCTGGCGCGTGATCGCGAAACGACACGCTGCGGGAATTAGCGGCGAATCTGAGCCGGCGAGTGGCGACCGGTCGTCACCGATCTGGTTCTATCGTTTTCGTGCGCGTAAGAACAGCCATCAGCTCGTACCTAATTAGGAGCACGTATCCGTGCGCGGTTTTTGAACGCGTCCGTTGGTCGCCGGCGTTTGCATCGGCCGCGACTTTCTTGCCGGGCGACTTTCTCGCCGTAAACGCGACTCGTCCTCTCCCCGGCCGGCTTCGTAAATTTCCTACGAAGTCGGAAACGGGATTTCGTCTCGATTCATCTTGCCGGCAATTACCGGCAACGGCACATGATCCGCGTACCTGCCTAGCGATCCGCTCGATTTATGGGAAACGCGTGTAAGCTTCGGGAGAAACGATTACTTTACTTGCGCGCGCTTCCATCGAAAGCCGAACTTGACATGGCGATCGTTCCACGGACGATCGATACCCGACGGCGTTTTCTTCCTTTTTCCCGCCGCCCTCTCCGCCTCACTCCCTCTCGCTCTCTTTCTCTGCACGCTCTCTCGTGCATGCACGTAGGTACGTGCCGAAGGTACCGAAGCTTCCATCCCGACGTGGAAACTCGGTGTACTACCTTTCCGACGCGTTTGATCTTCCGGAGATAGAGAGGCGATTAGAGCCGGCGGCGATCCTCCGATGGGAAGATTCCTCGGATCGCGAGGTGAAAAAATACCTTTACGTTTCGCGCGTCTGCCGTTGTACAGCCGAGTTACGAGCGTCGGCGGGACAACGAGAGACGGTAAGAGCAGCTATAGCCCGGGCGAAATCGGTCGGCAGCCAAGGTCGCGGTCCCCACTACGTCACCGCTCGGTCCTTACACCTCGTAATAAATTCGTACTATCGATGGAGAGGAAGCAACGGCCAATTTAACCCTTCAACGTGTCTACGTGGAAGACACGGCCGAAAAGGTAAACACGGTCGGAAGGTATTTCGATCAAAGTATCGGCTAGAGGGCCGGCAGAAAGGAAGCTTTCCTTCCTCGAATCCACGGTCCCTTTTTCTTCCTCCTTAATTCCCTTCTGCGGGACACGAATCCGAGCATCGGTACACCCGTCGAAACAGTGGCTGGCTCCCAATTAGGAACCCTCTTTTAAGTAATGCCCGCGATCTCTTCTCCCTGTCTCGCTCCCTCCGGCCACCGCCACCTAGCTGTCCTCGTTCCGCTCCACCGGCTCCGCTGGCACGATTGACTTTCCGCGGCATCCTCGTCTTTCTCTTGTATAAATTAGTCCCAGCCGCCACATAATGGCGTGTCGATGCGCTACTGTCCCCCGGCTAGCATTGCCTTTTTAATTCTCTTTTTCCCTCGTGCTCGGGTAACTCCCTCTTTCTCGGGCCTCACCGCTCTGTCCTCCTCTCAGCCGGCCTTTCTCCTCGGACCTCCTCGTCCCTCGCGCGCAGCCGCTCGTCGCGCTGTCCCCGTCGCCCTGTCCCCGGTCAGCCTCTCTCTGCTCGGGCCCCGAGAGACCCACTCGTCGCTTCTCTCTCCCGCTCCGTTTCGCCGCGCTCGTCCGACCGGCCGCTTAATTTACGACCAATTAATTTGGATAAACTGAACGAGGGGAGGCCTGCTTTCGATGCACGCGTTAACCGTGAATTTTTTCCCCCCACCTTGCCTTCCGGTCCAGCGGCTAGCGCTCGCCGGAGAGGCCTTTTCGGGGACCAACGACGACGTCGGATCACGGTGAAAACCGGCGGACGAGATGCTCCGAGCGATCGCACGCTGCTCGCTCGTGCTCGATACGGATCGAGTCGTTAAAGGAGATGAAATTTCGCGGCCGATTTTAACCGGAACCGAACCGGGGCCCTACGGGGTCCGTTTCGGCTCCGCGAAGAATTTCCAAACTTTTCTTCTCTTCTTTGCCGACACGAGCACACCGCCATTCGACCCGGTTCGTCGACTCCTGTCTCGGCGATCGAGAGATCCTCGTGGACGCGCGAAATCGTTGCGCTGTCCGCGGGCGAAATCCGCGTCGGGTTCTCTCATTGTGCCGTGTGTGGGACACGGTAGGCAGCCAGTCGGCGGGAGCGTGTGCGCGACAGACAGAAAAGAAGACGGTCGGAGAGGAGAGAAGCCGGTGAGGAGCGGTAGCGCGGACACATCGAAGGGGCTCCCTGGATGTCGTGGACAGGCCTGCTTGGTATTCCGTTCTCGTCCGGAGGCATAATTGGCCGCCAACTGGCGACGCTCCTCCGGGTATCGCGAAGACAAGAAATTATTCTTTAATTAATTGTCAGCGCTCAATGTGGCCGCATGCGTAGGATCGGTCGGCCTCGTACATAAATTTCATCTATATGGGAGCGCCGATCGGAGCGCGTGTAACAGACCTCTGCGCTGGCATAGAGGGACCCGGTGAAACGGAGGCCAAGCAGCGGACCCAGAGAGCGAGGCAGAAAACGAGCATCTCTCGCGCAATAGACAGAGATGGCCGAGAAGAGCTTCCGATCCGCGGAGGTAGCAAATACCTGGCGCCTGTTTGTAAACCCTTTAACGGTAAATCGTCGTTCCAGAGGGTCGCTGTTTGCGCGTTTGCTCGCCTTCTTTCGGCCCACTCCCGCCATCGCCGTCGCCACCCCTCCGCGTCGCGATGCTCGTCGTTTCCCTCGCGTATTTCTCCGAATGCTCGCGTAGGTGATCCTCGACCAAGATGGAGTTCCCCGTATAAAGAGGGGAAAGTCGGCACGGCCTTCCTCCTCGATGCTTTGTGCCCTCTAGTCACGCTACTGACGAATACTCTTTTGCCTTGGCTCGCCTCCGGGATCCGACGAGATTTACTCGCGGCCTCTCCACGCACGATCGGAATCAACGTCTGCCGATCCAAGTGCCATTAACGGACCGAGGTGCACCGGTTGAACGATCCGCGCAAGTTTCGGGCCCCGAGTTTAACGGTGCACTCGCGGTCCGTACGCGGACGGAGCCCGCTAGCCGAGGTGCTCCCGAGGCCCGTCGATCGTAAAATGGCGACAACTTCCGGCGATTCGGCTGCTTCTAATAACCGGTATATCAGCGGCACCGCCACGAACAATTAGGCTACTGGTCTCGACCGAAGGGACGACAGTTACGAGCGGTCGAGGGATTCAAAGAAGGCGGCGAACTTCTTTGATCGGACGTGCCAGTCGGGCAACCGATCCCCGGCCTGCTCGTTTTAGCCCGGGAAGGTGGCTCCGCTGGCTCTCTACCCCGTTCTTGTAGATAGGGAAGGTGGACCCGTAAGTATACGCGAATCCGCGCATTGGCGTCGCCTCGTCACCGGTTTCTCGCGAAAAACCGCTCCCAAAGTCGAATTTCCTTCGCGTTCCTTTTTGCTCGGGTTAGAACGCGATATCGCGTGTCGGTGCGACTTCCGTGTAACTTCGACGTAATCCGATGGCGAATTATCGACTGGGTGGAGAAATTTCGCGGAATTTTATTTCTCGGGGATAACGGTTTCGCGGCCGAGATAAGGGGTTCGTCGGCGGCGGAGGGTCGTTAACGGAGAAAGGGAAGAAGGAAACGATCGATTCTAATTAGACGGCTGACATCCGTATCGGAAAGGAAGAAAGCCTCGACGCTCATGGACAGATTATTCGGGACAGGTGCATACAGAGGGGCCCGTGGTTGGCGTAGATACGAGGCGGCGTCACGTGTGCGTGGGTCTCGTACCGTATACGTATATTTTATAATTAGCCCGGGGCTCGGCGCGATAAATCAGCGCGCCGCCCGGGCTTAAGACTTAATTAAAAATTTAGTCAAAAACCAATTAGCGGCTACGCCGGATTAACATATTTCTAATTATCTGCCGGACACTTTCGGCCGCCCTATACCGTTGCCTCGACTACTTGCCATATACGAGGCCGCGGCTCTCCCCGCCGATGACTTTGCGATACATTTCGTTGCGCCCGACGGAACTCCCTTTTTCGTTTTTCTCCTCTTCCCGTGTCTTTCCCGCGCCTCGTTTCACCGGACATAATGCTCCTTTCAACGAAGGATCGCCGATGTTCGGGCCAACGGACGGGGGTCGTTGGCCACGATCATCGTCCACGGATTATTGTTTTCCTCTTACTCTTTTATTTCCATCGGTTCAATCGCTGCTAACGACCATCGATCCGGGTTCGACGACTCTCTCTCCACTTACCTTTTAATCCCGCGGCGATTACACACCGGGACCTCGGGTCGCGGGATTCGCCGTGTTCGGTTGCGAGTAATCGGTACAAGTCGGCGTAAATACTGAAATCATTTTTATTTCGCTATGGTATACTTCCATGGATAAATTATCATGTTACATTTATACAGGGCGCTTAGGTACATCCGGGACCTCGTCGCGTACGCAGCGTGCTCTCGATACGCTCCTGGATCTCGAATCCGATCGTGGTTCCTGCGCAATTTACACGCACGCGTATATACACGCTCTCTTCTCCTGTCTTCGCCTGTCTCTCTGCGGAGAAAAGAGAGGAAAGGAAAGAAAAAAATGTCTAACGCTCGTCGCGCGATCGAACCTGGTCGAGAGAACTTTTGTGACAAGAAAGAGAAGAAAAAAAAAAAATATATATATATATATATATATTCGAGGCTAGGCAGCTTTCCAATTTCGAATCCCCGTTGTAACGTGGCAGCATCGCGTCCAGGAATCACGAGGAATCGATTAAACGAACGGCGTCGTTCGACCCGTCCAACCTCTCGACTCGGTTCCACGCGATCGTCGAAGAACGATTTGGGAGCAGGAATTCTAGCTGAGCTGTTCCAGAGTGGATTCACCGGCTACGTAGCGTATTTCTTCCTCGTTTTTCCCCTGCTGCTTCGACCTAGTCGATTATCTCACCCGTAAATTTCCCTCCGGGGGATAAACGAGCCGAAGGAGCGGGTTAATTGAAACGCCGGAGTCGCGGTTATACAACGTCGTCGTAGCCGAGTTGTTTCTCGTCTACTCTTTCTCTCTCCTCCGGTTTCTTCGAAACGGAAGTCGAACGTCCTGTACACGCGTCGATATATTAATATTTATATATACATACGTACACTTACGCGATTCGGTGCAAGGTCTATTTACAATATGTACATCGTTGTCGCAGCCACTCTCTCGCGTGAGATCAACGCATCGAAATGCCATCTAAATGCTCCGTCCGCGACGCGGATCGTCGCCGTGTCCGACGCAGGCGGTGATCGAGATCGATCTAGCGACGAAGACGCGCGCGGACGTGCGCGGGAAAAATATGAAGCAGACACGAGGAGGGCTCTCCTCTGCTCTGCTCTCGGTGAAAGATCGCGGCGGTAAAAGTCAGCGTGGATTTATCGCTCCGCTCGACTCGCGTTGCTTTCTACGACCGACCAAACACCGGCGTTCTCGTACCCCGCGTTTGTAAACTCGCGCCGACCTCGCCATTTCCTCCGCGTCGCCATTCCACGGAAGCGGGGCCGCGCGCGCCGATGATGGGCCCGAAGATCGCGCTTCGACTCGGTCAGCCGCGAGCCGTTCGGATTATTCGGTGCGTGGTAACAGGTTTCAAAGTTTCCTGGAATGCGGAGTTTCGAATGCCTGCTCATCGCGCTGCATCCCTCCCCGGGATTCCTCGGCAGCCGCGTTATCTCTTCCTTCGCCCTGCACCCATCCACCGCCACGAATCACTAATTTGTTACCACAAATCGTAGAAGCCGAGTGGTGTCCGACGCTCTCCGAGTCTTCCTCCATTCGTCCGAAAGGGATCCACCGTGTTTCTTCCTTCGACTCCTCCGCGATCCTCGATCTTGTACCACTCGGGGGCCTTCCCCGAACCCATCATCGCGCGTCCAGAGGATTCTTCTCGGATGCTGCGCGATCCACTCGGACTTGTGAGGACTCCTCTCGTAGTCTTCTCGCTCCGACGACCGGTTGGAGTTTCACCAGGTCATGGTTCGTAGTCGTGGATGGGCCTCGCGACGCGTTTCTTGCGGTTCGCCGGTACGGAAGAGGCAGACTGGCCAGGGTACGAGCGACTTGGGCTCGCGCGGCTCGACTCTGCCTTATTAAGGCCTGTGTCCAGGGGGCCCCATGAACATGGCTGCCGCGGCCGCGACATGGGTGTGCCTAGCCATGGCCGCCGCGATGAAGGGAGGCACTCCTGGTGTTCCAGGAGGCCCCACTCCGGAGAACATGAGGCCAGAGCCGAAACTCGGGTGCAGCAAGGGCCTCGCGGACAGCCTGAGCTTCTCGATTTCCGCCTCTTGCAGACGCTTCGCCTTCGCTCGTCTGTTCTGGAACCAAATTTTCACCTGGAACAGAGGAAAAGCGCGCCGGATTAAGCGTGGGCGCTAAGAGGGTTCCAGAACCGGTATCTATTCGACGCGCGCGACAGAGAGAACGAAAGAGAGAGAAAGAGAGAAAGAGAGAAAGAGAGAGAGAGGTTTGGACTGTGAAAATTCAGCGAAAGAGTATCGCCTTGGGCTGTTGCGGGTAGCGAGCAGGTACTCGCGATCGACACCTGGACTCGCTACACCCGATCGCTACCCTGCGCCGTGTTCCACGTCCAAGATGCATTTTCAACGAAGCTTGTCACCGGTCGGGTACACGAGCGTGGCCCGGAGGAACGGCTCGCGCCGGTCAAAGTAGAAAACGAGCGTCGCGGCGGACGGACAGGGCGGGAGGAGCGTCGATACGGTCACGTAATTAAATAATTACGCTATCGATCAAGCGCGGTACGTAAGCGGTCTAACAAGGGACGCGACGGGATCGGCTGAACGGCGAGTAGAGAAAATAGGTGCACCACGGTGCTGCATGAACGGCTATTTAGCGCGTAATTAGCCGGCTCAAATTGGTGAAAGCAGCCGGTCGTACGGCGCGGCCTGCTGGAATTCGTCGATGTAGTTGGAAACTTGCTACGTGGAAAGATATGCGGCTCGAATTCGCGGCTCTCGAAACCTTCTCCTCGGCCTTAAGTTAATTGTGTTTGCACAGTCGCCGGCCAATTTTTCTGTTTGGACAGATGCTGCCGTAGTCGTCGTCGTCGCTGTCGTCGCTGTCGCCGTCGCGAATCCGCCGCGTGTTCTTGCACGGTCTCGCGAGTCAGTCGTGATTTTCCCGTGGAAATCGTCTGCCGGAAAATTTTTCCTCGGTACACCGGTCACGAATCGGCGGCGAGTTAACGAATCGACGAATCAATCCGCACGCACGGTTGCCTCGGTGTTGCTAATTGGCCAGGTATTTACACACACTCGTTTGTAACACCGTTGCGAGCAGTCCGGGAGTTATACTTTGTAGACAGACGTTGTTATTTACCTCGTAGCGAGCGCTTGGTCCGATGAGTGCGGGGATAATACGCGATAACGGCGGGGGGAAGATGGCGCGTCTTTAAGATGGAGAGATCGGTAGGCGAGGTCGGTGGACGAACAAAGGTTTAATTAAAGCGGAATTATCGCGAAGGTTTGTTTGAACTGTTAAAGCGTTAGCGTCGTGCGACGGTATCAAGGATATTCGTTGGAGGAACAGTTTACCTGCGAGACTTACTCCATCATCCGAACGCTAATATCCTAGTGGCCGCGCGTGTAACGACGACAATCTTCCTATTATCGTCGTTATTATTCTCGTTACCATTATTTTTATCGTAATGCGCGCCGACTACGCAGCCCCCCGTGGAATTAGCATTAAGCACCCTGGAGCACGCGTAACGAGTTCAAGGAGCCGTAATCTGATCGCTAAAACGGGTATAACGTTACGCGGGGTATAAGGGTAAATAAGAATGCAGATGCGAAAAAACGATATAAATCGCGTAACTCCTTAATAAATCAGCCACGATGTCGGACACGTTAGGCGGACGTAACACAGCCCGGCCGGAGGATACCTCTCGTCGCTTAGAAAGTAGAAATCTCGCGTCGCGTGACAATGCGCAATCAAATCGTTAGTGGTTCTCCCGGAGGAAAGACATATTGCGATATTCCGCGTGGTTTTTCCCTTCGCCAACGACTTCCTGTTTTTCACGGTCGTAGGCTAACGCGTTACCACCTGCGCGCGCGCTCGCAATTTTCCAGGGACGCGGATGGCGCGTTACACCGTCGCAACAGCTTCCATTTCCTCCATTCCTCTCGTCTCCGACCCGTTTCGCGTTCCGTCCGCTTCCGAGGATTCGAATCGCGACGAATCGCGAGCATGGAATCGGGGGATCGTTGGATCGCGGAAAATCGGGGAGATTTATAACGGAATCGCGGAAGGCGAAGTTGTCCCGTCGAAGGAAACGACGAACAGGCATCGATCCGTGGCCACCGAACCGTTCTCGAAAATTATTTCCACGAACGGGCTGCTATTGCGTTCTAACCGCGCGAATATCGCAGGCCGAATCGCGAACATACCTCTTCGTCGCGGGTGAATAATGAGAGGATAGCGGCGCAGGGTGGCGATCCGTGGCTGTTTCGGAAGGACGAGGAGGACAAGAGGCGGCGGGACGATCGTAGCTTATCTAAGCAAATGAACGGGACGAGGCTTCATTTCGTCTGATGCATTGTAACGAATACGCAAAGTGTATCCGAACACGCTAGCCGGTGAACGATAATAGCCTGGTCGCGATCGTCTTTTTGGCTTGGCTACGACACGTGTCGCGGCACAACGAACGTCTAGCAGGCATTAACGCGGCTGGTTAATTTTATTGCGGCTTAAATACCTCGTTCCGCGGATTTTTACGCCGCTCTTGTTCGAGCGGCTGTTAAACTGGCCGGTTATCCGCGTATTTACGATTCGCCTGACAAATTTCGCCCGCGTGAGGCGCGATAAATTTCGAGAAATACTTACACCCGCGATGGATAGCGGTTACAGCGCCCGGTTAATTAATGTCCCGGCAGAGCGTGTATTTTGTCATTATCAGCGGAGGAAACAGTTCGCTGCGTCTGGTACAAATTAGAAGTAGAACCAGAACGTCGAGATCGGACAGGCTCAACCGCCGCGGCCAGCTGCTCCGTCGCCATCGCGCAATTTCCCCATCTTTCGCTCCACTTTTCACCCCTTTCCGTCTTTTCAACCCTATCTGGACGCAGCGACGGGATCACGCGTCGATCTCGCGAATTAGCACCTTTGCTCGCGAATTTGCGAATTTTTCACGACTCGTGCGTCTTTCTTGGCGAGTCGATGGTCGTCGTTGACTTTGCGGTAGCTTTGTCAAAGTATCGTGCAAATATCGTCAAAATATCGTTCAAATATCGTCGAATATCGCCCAATTATCGAAATATGGTCTAAATGTCGCCAAAATATCGTCGAAATATCATCGAAACGTTATCGAAATTCTATGGAAATATTATGGAAACGTTACGACTCGGCAAATTCGAGTAAGTAGATATTTTTCGCCAAAATGGACGGCTTGGATCGGTTAATTAAGGTTCATCGGCGACGGATGATCCCATCTCGGGCAGACAGAAGGAATCGCGAAGATGGTCGAAACTGGGGAAAATTCACGCGTTTTCATTCGTCACGACGTGTCGCGAGTGCGACGTGCACACTTGAGCAAACAATTCGCTCCGTTCGATCGTTACCGGCGGCATTTAAACCGTCTTCTGGCGTTGGCGCGCCAAATGAGCGCTGATCATTTCGGCTGATACAAAAATTACGTATAATATCATTTCATTACGTTCAATTTAATTAACGTCAATCATGTTAATTGCTAGCCGACTCCGTAGAAGGGTGTGTAATTACCCGCCTGGATGTGATGCATCCGATGCGAGAGACGGAGAGACAGAAGCTCGATAGAGACAGAGAGAGCGGAGAATTTGCTCGTTTTGACCGCGTCCTGCGTCGAGCAATTACGAAACAAAGAGGAAGGAACGGGAGAAAGAGGGAAATAAATTGCTGCGAGAGAATACAGGGAGAAGAACAAATGTACGTAAAGGACGAGCGAATCGCAAGTTCACGGGTCTTTGAAACGAGACGAGTCTCTCGTTGCGTGCGAGTCCTGCCTTTTTGCCACTTTCTCTATTTACGCGTTACCTGGAACAGCTTAGGCGACTCTTCTAAGCTCGGCTTCTACGTACCTCGGCTCGCGATCCTTCCAGGTACCCGACACCGACGTTCCACGATCGATCGAGCCTCGATCGTCACCGAAATCCGCTTCGCAAACCCGTCCACTGTCAACGATGGCGCCCGGTTACTCTCCGCTTCCGTCCTCGCGACACGCGCGCTTAATAATTCGCGGTAATTCGCGTTTACGATCGTTAAATCACTACCATCGGCTGTATACACGTAGCAATCCGCGGGTAGTTAACCGAACAGGCAAGATTTCTCTGCGCGTTCGCGTGTAACACTTGTTCGCGAGGCCGCGTACAAAACGCTTCTCTCTAATGGTTAATTGTTCGCGGCGAGCTTAATGGCTAACTTTCGACTCGTCTCACCTGCGTTTCCGTGAGGTGAAGGGACGACGAGAATTCCGCTCGTTCGGCGATGGTTAGGTACTGCTTTTCGCGAAACTTTTTCTCCAGTGAGAGCAGCTGCTGGGTGGTGAACGGTGTCCTCGGCTTGCGATTTGGCTTGTGTTTCCTCAGGGTGCACCTGACCGGCCCGGGTCCCGGTCCTGGCAGCCTCAGGTCGCCTGCAACCGATCCGAAAAACTGTCGATCAGTGACAAAACACGAGTGGACGGAGACTGGTTCTCTGCTAGGGGAATCTCTCGCGAGTTAGACAGTCGTTGGCAGGAAGTCGAGGATCGTTTAGATGTCGCGCCATTTTTCAACTCGACCGTGGGACAGAAAACCCGTGCACCTTTAATCCTAACCTAGAGCTAACTTTTAGACACCTAGACCTAAACCTTCACTAGTATACTTTAACGCGGTATATCCAATCGAGCATTTGGTGTTCCAGGGATAGGACCATCTCTATTCCCTGTCAAAAGAAAAATAGAGTTCTCCTCTCGGAGTTAAAGTTTTCCTCTTACTTATGGTCTGACTAGATACGTATCGTACACTAGGTAGTACACTCGCGATGTCTATAGCCACTGCAGGTCTGAGGTTCACGGTGTACCAGCGACGATTATGATTACCAAACGCCTGTCAATGACATTCGCCGTGTACTAACGATTCCAGCCACTCGCTGAAATTTCTCGACCACTGGTGATAGAGTGTTTGGAGTAAAAGCTCGACGCCATCTCCGTGGCTCGATCGGTACGCGAGGGAATCGGTCTGCTGTCGATCGAGCGACGTGTACGCGGAATAATTAACACTCACGGTCGCATTAGGAAGGCGAATTAAGATACGGCCGGACCAGGGCCGTAGAATATTTTCCCGGATAGCTCGCGTAATTATTGTCCAACTATCGCGTCTGATAAATCGCTAGATGTCGCTGCAGCTGCGCTGAGAGGGAGTCAACCTATCTTGGAAGCAGGATAGGTGCAATTATGCGTTTCTTCCTTTTTTCCATTTTCCCTTCATATCGCGATCGCTAATGATAAATGCATTCCCAGATATTTACGCTCGCATATTTATCCGCTGTTTATACACGGCTAACGCGAGAGATACACGCTCCCCGTCTGCTCCTCGAGCTGTTCCCCATCGATCGATTAAAAATATATTAGGTCCGTGGATCGAGAACGGCGAAGAAATGATCCGAGGTACGCGGTGCTTGGTTTAATTATGTCATCGAACGCGATAGAGACGATCCGCGGATATCCGATAACGGCATTACAAACTTCGCAATGCTAATCGCGTTCGCGCAGATTTGTTCGAATGGTGCGAAATTATCGGCACGTTATGCCTATGTGCGCGTTGCATAATAATTATCTGCGAGCCCGCGATAACGTTCGTCCGCCACCGTTAATTAACGCGCGCGCCACGCCATTGTCTCTTCCAACTTTTCGCTCGCCACCCTCTTCTCATCGATTCCGATTCCGCTCGTCCCACCTCGCGTAATCTCTCTTAGTCTATTCCAACGACAGTCCACGCAAATTTTCGCGAATTCTTTACGCGTAAGTACGCATAAAGAGACAAAGTTAGCAGTTTGCTGTCAAGAAGGAATCGCGATATAATTTACTTATTATACAGTTTATATCAGCATTAGTTAGTTGTATAATTTGTATAATTCCATAGTCATGAGATGCCACGAGAGCTAAAGAATCAAATAATCCCAAAATTGCGGTAAATTCAGCTAGGGAATCCCGCGGAGCACCCGCAGAACGTTGACAGGAGTTTGATCGGCGACGAGGAATTCCGGGTGGTTTCGGATGGAAAATGGCAGAGAAAGAGAAAGAGAAGAGGTCGAGATGGACGCGCGAAAATTCAGCCTCGTTTCGCGTTAACGATCGCGCAGGCCGCCGGTTGTTCACATAAATTATACGGTCGTCGATCGTGCGTGAGCACACGCGTTTCTCCGCAATCAGCGTCGGCCGTTCGTCGTTAATCCCGAATTTATAGAAGCGAGCCCGGGCACGATCTACCGATCGGCGCGAACGATCGGCGAGAAGGAAGCGTGGAAAAAGTAAATCGTTACGCTCTCGCGTCTGAAGGTTGATTATCCCGGTGCGCGATCGATGATTAACTCGTACGCGTGTCATTAGTCCATCCTCTCGTTTTCCTGCGGATTCTTTCCGAGTTGGCTGTCCCGCCGTCGTGGAATTTTAAACGGAATCGGTGCGATCGGCCAACGATACAGCCTCCTCGACGCAGGCATTCCCGTTGCGATCGGACACTCGCAACGTCCGAACGGGAAAGAAGGTAATTGCTGGCTTGTTTACCGAAAGCTCGAGCGGCCGCGTAAAAACGGAAACCGCGAACACTCCCGTTAGCCGGTTCGCCGATTAATCTTTACGACACCGATTTTCACCGCGCGGAACGCGAACGCGTCGCGTCGATCCGGCGCGCGGCGTCCTCGCGAATGGGAGCATCGATCGCCGGCGGAAAGAAAGCATCGTTAACGATCGTGGTCGGCCGTGTCGATCGCGGTATATCGCGAGGGTGAATCGGCCGAGCGGCTGCCGGCGTGTGGAGGATTCGGTCCGCCGGTTGCGTGCACCGGCAAAAAGTCAGCGTTCGGTGGAGGACCGGGTCGAAAGTGGATGACGATTTCGCGGCAAGCAGCGGGGCAACAGCGAATTCCACGCGCTAATTAACGATCGGCCGGGGACAAAAAGCGGTAACGGGCCGGCGGCATTGTCCAGCGGATCTGTCGCGACATCGGTATTACGTCTTCCATTCCGCTCGCGTTCCCCGTTTCTCCGCTATCGACCGGCTGCTTGGCTAGTCCGCTCGCATAACCGATCAATATGTTCCTCTTCCAGGCTAATTAATTTCTGCTAATTAAACGCTCGCTCCAGTCTCCGTGGAAATATATCTCGCGCCCTCGCTTTCCGCCTAATGGACCAAGCACCTGCTTTAACCCGACTTTTCCTCTCTTTCGTTTCGCCTTCCTCCTCGAGTTCCGCGACGTATTGTCTCTCGCTGACCACGTGGCACACGCAAGTCTCGGGATGCCGCCAGAGGCCGACGCGTTTCCTACCACGTCGCTCCAACGGAAAACGACATTTCTCCCGTATTTTCCTCGTATTTCGCGAATTTTCTTCTCCCAGGTATTAACAAATTTTCCGTCCCTTTTTCTAACTACCCTTCGATCAAACTGCGTAATTCTACTTTCGATGCAAGATTCGTTTCTACTCCTTCCGTTTCCCACCAACGAATTCGAGTCTCTCCAATATTTCTCAATTCTTGGTATCACAGTGAGTGACTTATGCTCCATTTTCTATATTTAACACTGGACCTAAATCAGAATTCAAATGCTGCTCACGATGGTTTTCGAACTTTTAATTAAAAATTTCGTAGTTAACGTTGTTGCTCAT